TCTTTCACCATTATTCAATCTGTATGCTGAGCAAATAATGTGTGAAGCAGGGTTATATGAAGAATAACATGGTATCAGGATTGTAAGAAGACTCATTAATAACCTGCCATATGCAGATAATACACTTTTGATTGCTGAAAGGGACAAGGACTTAAAACACTGTTGAAGATCAAAGACCACAGTCCTTGATATGGATTTGTAGCTCAATGTAAAGAAAACAAAAATCCTCACCACTGGACCAATAAACAACATTCTTATCAACAGAGAAAATATTGAAGTTGACAAAGACTTGATTTTGCTTGGATCAACCCTCAACACTCATGGAAGCAGCAATCAAGAAATCAAATTCCATATTATGTTAGGTAAATCTGATACAAAAAAATATTTTCAAGGTGTTGAAGAGCAAAGACGTCAGTTTGAGGACTAAGGTGGACTTGACCCAAGCCACGGTATTTTCAATAGACTCATATGCATGTGAATAAGGTAGACCATGTAAAAATTGATGCATATTAATTATGGCATTGAAGGAAAATATTAAAAGCAGCATGTTTGCTAGAAGAACAAACAAACCTGTGTTGGAAGAAGTATAGTCAGAATGCTTTCTTTAGAAGCCAAGATGGCCAGACTTTGTTTCTCATACTACATACATATTATCAGGAAGAACCAGTGTGTGAAGAAGGATATCATGCTTGGTAAAGTGGAAGGTTAATGAAAGAGAAGATGACCTCCAATGAGATGGATTGACACTGTGACAAGTGCAATGGACTCAAGCATAGCAACCATTGTCAGAATGGCACAAGACTGTGCTGGGCCTCATTCTGTCGTGCATAATGTCGCTATGACTCGGTACCGACTCCATGACACCTAACAACAAGTAAATGAAGTCTTATAGTCAGACTTGTGGGTTCATTTAAAAGATAGCCTTGTAGTACATCTTGGTTGTAAATCAGGACAGTGGTTCAAAACACCAGCTGTCCCACAGAGAAAGATATGACAGTCAGCTTCCATAAAAATCATGGAAACCTTAGGAGGTTATTCAACGGTGTCGGGTAGGGTTGCTATGAGTTAGTATGGACTCAGTGTCAATAGATTGGATTGACTAGTGCAAACAGCGTAACTGAAAGGATGGGCATTTGAGTCTCCCAGAGAGGATTCAGAAGTAAGGCCTGGTGATCAGCTCCCAAAAAATCAATCATTGGAAATCCTTTAAAGCCCAACTCTGGTCTGGCATACATAGTGTTTCCATTAATTAAAATTAAACAGATGATTTTTTTTTTTCTAGACCAAGTTTGATGGTATATAAGGAGACTATTAAAAATGAATCCGAGATGTAAAATAACTCCTCAAAAATAAAGTAGAACAGGTTTCCTGTTTTGTAGTTACAACACTAAAAATATGATATTTTAATTCAATTCAAACATATTCATGAAGGAAAGAAAGAGAAGAGGAAACTAAAGGAAATACTAGTTTAAATACTACCAGAATTTTAAGTATTAAAAAATTCACTCAATGTGTCTGTTTCATTTTGCTTCAGATCTATTGACAAATAACTAACATGAAATCAGAAAACTACACAGATGTGTTGGAATTCCTCCTTCTGGGCCTTTCGCAGGATCCAGAACTGCAGCCCTTCCTCTTCGGGGTGTTCCTGTCCATGTACCTGATTACTGTGCTTGGGAATCTGTTCATCATCCTGGCTGTCAGCTCTGATTCCCACCTCCACATCCCCATGTACTTCTTCCTATCCATTTTATCCTTTGTGGACATATCTTTCACCTCTACCATTGTGCCCAAGATGCTGCTGAACATCCTGACAGGGAACAAAGCCATCACTTACACAGGCTGTCTTACTCAGGGATATTTTTTTTTGGTTCTTATGTGTATGGACGGTTTACTCCTGACTGTGATGGCCTATGACCGGTATGTGGCCATCTGTCTTCCTCTGCATTACATGGTCATTATGAACCCCCATCTCTGTGGCCTGCTGATTCTACTGTCCTGCGTCATTAGTATCATGAACGCCCTGCTCCATAGTCTGATGGTGCTACACCTGTCCTTCTGCACAGACCTGAAAATCCCTCACTTCTTCTGTGAGCTTGCTCAGATCGTTAAGTTGGCCTGTTCTGATACCCTCATCAATAACATCCTGGTGTATATAGTAGCTAGCCTATTGGGTGTGGGTCCTCTCTCTGTAATTATTTTCTCTTATGTTTGCATCATCTCCTCTGTCTTGAGAATTCCATCAACAGGTGGCAAGTATAAGGCTTTTTCCACCTGTGGATCTCACCTGTTTGCTGTCTCCTTGTTTTATGGAACTTCTGTTGGGGTCTACCTTAGCTCTGCAGCTCATCTGTCCCCCAGTAGTTCAGCAGTGTCCTCAGTGTTGTACACCGTGGTCACACCCATGATGAATCCCTTTATCTATAGTCTGAGGAACAAGGATATAAAGGGAGCCTTGAAGAAAACAATTTCTGCAATAACTTACTTTTTATGATTTTGTCATC